GCAGCTGGGCGGATCCAGACATAATTGTCGGGGTCCGCTTCAGCTGCGATGTCTTAGTATACCGCGAGCTACAGCTTGCGGTATACTGAGCCTAGGGTGACGGGAGGACGCTGGTTTGTGTCCTCCCGTTACCATAAGGAGAACTATGGGGAAAAGCCTTAACCCCATAGTTCTCCTTTAAAAAAAATAACGCTGGTGCCCAACGTTTGAGGTTTTCTATACTAGAAACTAGCTCCTGGATTGGATTCCATTTTAATTTTCCCACCCGTGGTGTATTTTTAGTTTTATATGTCAACGTACAAGATGAACAAGCTAGCAAGAGTAGATAGACATTGGAAAAGCCATGTAAACGTAAGGAAAATTACCCAATGTGCAGATGTTTGTTGCTATAATTGGAGTGAGGAAGACTTTTTTCAAGAGGAACTCAAATCAGAATGCTGTGCCCAAAAATCACAGGTAAAGGACCAAGCTCCAGTTGATCTTTTCCCATTACTCACTTACCATGCCTCGCATTGCACTGTCTTTGTGTGGAGACGTCCATCTTAGTAGCTGTCAGAAAACACAGATGTGCTACACAGAAAGATAGAGGTGCACCGAAATTGAATTTTCAGACAGAAACCGAGAATAAAACATTTGTCAGGTGAATGAAAACCAAAACTTTTATTTTTCCAACTTTTTAAAAAATGTTTGTAATATTTAATTTTTTTTTTTTACTTTACTGTCGGGGGCTGCGGGGAAATATTAGGGGTCTAAACACACCCCTGATGTTTTCCTTTTGTAATAGAAAAAGAGATTGAGGACACAGTCCTCAATCTCTGTTTCTGCAGCCCCTGCTATGAATGAACAGGAATCCTCTATACCAGTTATCTCCTGTCCTGGGCCCCCTCCAAGTGGCCGAACTCCAGGGCCCGGCCGCGACCTCTGCGACCCTGGTAGTTCCGCCACTGAGTGGGAGGTGTATTTGGGTGCCATTCAAATGAATGGCAATGCAATGCACTTCTCACACCAAAATGCGTGGTAGGTGCGATTGCGAAGTACTGTGCATTAATCGCACGGGACTGTGCATTTAACGCACTGTACTAGTGTGAATGGACATTACCTCCAAAACACACAACCACAGACACAATCTCACACACACACTCCAAAAAAAAAATATTTTAAATTTTTTTTTAAGATCCATTCAGTCTGCCTACCTTATGAGATCTTTAGCCTGGGGTCTGGAATGTTACTAGACTGGGTCAGAGACTGCAGATATGCTACAGGAGATGGTTAAAGACTATGGGAATGTTACTAGACATGGTCAGAGACTGAAGATATTCTATATGAGATGGTCAAAGACTATGGAAATGTTAGTAGACATGGTCAGAAACTGAAGACATTCTATAGGAGATGGTCAAAGACTATGGAAATGTTACTAGACATGGTCAGAGACTGAAGACATTCTACAGGAGATGGTCAAAGACTATGGAAATGCTACTAGACATGGTCAGAGACTGAAGACATTCTACAGGAGATGGTCAAAGACAACCGGAATGTTACTAGACTGGGTCAGAGACTGCAGATATGCTACAGGAGATGGTCAAAGACTATGGAAATGTTAGTAGACATGGTCAGAGACTGAAGACATTCTATAAGAGATGGTCAAAGACTATGGAAATGTTAGTAGACATGGTCAGAGACTGAAGACATTCTATAAGAGATGGTCAAAGACTATGGAAATGTTAGTAGACATGGTCAGAGACTGAAGACATTCTATAAGAGATGGTCAAAGACTATGGAAATGTTAGTAGACATGGTCAGAGACTGAAGACATTCTATAAGAGATGGTCAAAGACTATGGAAATGTTAGTAGACATGGTCAGAGACTGAAGACATTCTATAAGAGATGGTCAAAGACTATGGAAATGTTAGTAGACATGGTCAGAGACTGAAGACATTCTATAAGAGATGGTCAAAGACTATGGAAATGTTAGTAGACATGGTCAGAGACTGAAGACATTCTATAAGAGATGGTCAAAGACTATGGAAATGTTAGTAGACATGGTCAGAGACTGAAGACATTCTATAAGAGATGGTCAAAGACTATGGAAATGTTAGTAGACATGGTCAGAGACTGAAGGCATTCTATAGGAGATGGTCAAAGGCTATGGAAATGTTACTAGACATGGTCAGAGACGGAAGACATTCTATAGGAGATGGTCAAAGACAACCGGAATGTTACTAGACTGGGTCAGAGAATGCAGATATGCTACAGCAGATGGTTAAAGACTATGGGAATGTTACTAGACATGGTCAGAGACTGAAGACATTCTATAGGAGATGGTCAAAGACTATAGGAATGTTACTAGACATGGTCAGAGACTGAACACATTCTACAGGAGATGGTCAAAGACTATGGGAATGTTAGTAGACATGGTCAGAGACTGAAGACATTCTACAGGAGATGGTCAAAGACTACAGGAATGTTTTTAGACATGGTAAGAGACTGCAGACCTGCTACAGGAGATGATCAGAGAACACATATGACCAAATATGCTATGAAAGTTGTTGGGAGACTGGGGACGCGCTTCAGAAGACAAACATGAACTGGAGACACTTTACATGAGATGCTAGAGGTCACTGCTATTACAGCACCTTTACATATCAATGATTTCACATTTATGCTCCCAACATCTCCCTAAAAATAATTTGACCACAGTTGATCATTCTTATCTACTGGAATCCAGTCTAAAAAACACTTTCCTTCACTGACCTAAAATCACTTAGGCAATGGAAACAGAGACTATTCCCAGCAGGGGCCCTTAGGGCTACACAATAAAGCTAGCCATATACCATTAGATTTGAATTCAATGTTCATACATATTTGTGAAATATTGGTGGTCCGAGCATTGAATGATGACATCGTTGACTCCATAAAGTTTGTTTGGAAGATAAGTGTAGCTTATTATAAAATGAGTGTTGTGTACCACAATGCTTGTAATGGTGAACAGTGAATGTTTTCATAGTGCAAGCAGGCTGGCCACCACCACCATGAAAGCACATGATGCTAATCCAGGGTGGGCCCCATCCAGGACCTCCTCCAGAATTCAGCAGAGGACGGTAGTCCGTCTCTGTCTAGGAGGACTCTGATGTGAAAGGGGGAGGGCTCTGATATAAAGGGAGGACTCTGATGTGAAGAGGCCACCTGATGTGAAGAAGGGACTCTGATGTGAAAAGGTTCTCCTAATGGGAAAGGGTGGACTCTGATGTGAAGGAGAGCTCCTAATGGGAAAGGGAGGACTCTGATGTGAAGGGGAGCTCCTAATGGGAAAGGGGGACTCTGATGTGAAGAGGAGCTCCTGATGGAAAAGGGTGGACTCTGATGTGAAGGAGAGCTCCTAATGGGAAAGGGAGGACTCTGATGTGAAGGAGAGCTCCTAATGGGAAAGGGAGGACTCTGATGTGAAGGAGAGCTCCTAATGGGAAAGGGAGGACTCTGATGTGAAGGAGAGCTCCTAATGGGAAAGGGAGGACTCTGATGTGAAGGAGAGCTCCTAATGGGAAAGGGAGGACTCTGATGTGAAGGAGAGCTCCTAATGGGAAAGGGAGGACTCTGATGTGAAGGGGAGCTCCTAATGGGAAAGGGGGACTCTGATGTGAAGAGGAGCTCCTGATGGAAAAGGGTGGACTCTGATGTGAAGGGGAGCTCTAATGTAAGGGGGCTCCTGATGTGAAGGGAGGACTCTGATGTGAAGGGTGGACTTTGATGTGAAGGGGGTTTATGATGGGTAAGGGAGGACCCTGATGTGAATGGGGTAGAGGGGCAGTGGTAGGGGGCGACTCCTGATGGGAAGGAAAGCTCTGATGGGAAGGTGGGCTCCTGATGTAAAAGGGCAACTCTGATGTGAAGGGTGGGCTCCTGATGTAAAGGGGAAACTTTGATGTAAAGGGGCTTTTGATAGGAAAGGGGCACCCGATATAAAGGCGGGGACTCTGATGTATAGGGAGGATTTTGATGTGGCGGGGGGCAGGGAGGGGCTCTGATGTGAAGGGGCCTTTTGTCGCGATATCGCGCAGATGCTTGCATTGAGCAAGCTAGAATCGCGGCAAAACCCGCTCCAAAAAGGGTCCTGCTGTAGTGACGCAAGACCCGCGACAGCTACAGACAGAGCCCCATTGGATTGCATTGGAGAGCGATATCGCGCGGTAAATCGCTCAGTGTGAACGGGGCCTTATGTGAAAAGGCCTCCTGATAGGAAAGGGGGACTCTAATGTTAAGGGGGGCTCTAATTTGAACAGGAAAGGGCTCAGATGAGACGAGGGCTCTTGATGTAGATGGGAAACTCTG